ATCTAATCCGGATTCTGGATTTGACCACCATTTAAATTTAACACTGAAAACCCCATTTAATTTATATATTCTGCCATAACATGGCCTATAATTAAGATAGAATCCTGAAAGGTTCATGGAAGGTGCACAGTATAACTGGCTATCAGACCCTAAAAGACGATCTTGATCTAATCAGGATCAAGGATTTTAGGACACATTTTGTGTTGTTTTTGATCTCTTTTTTTCACAAAGGACCCATTTGTGTGAGTGAATGTTGTGCCTTGGTGGAGATACTCTCTGAGTGCTCTTGTTGAACTATTAAATAGTTGTAAAGCCTCATCATCTGACGCTCATCACATCACTTTGCATCTTTTTGTACTCACTTTGCTAATTTTGAATTCATTTTGCCTCTCATGGTCACTTTGTGTCTGTGGTTGTTTCGCATATCTATGTTTTTTGTGGTTCTTTGTAATCTTTTTGGGTCTCTTGCAGTGGCATTTTGCAGCCAAGTCCCCTTTCGATCCCTGGGCCTGTGTCAGGCAGGCTGGTGTAGTAATCTATTTATACATGCAGTCTAATAAAAAGCACAGTCTTTGAATGAAAGCCTGATATAGCTTACAGACTTCTGCCACAGAGCTTTGTTAATTATCTCGTTTGTTCAGTATTTAAAAAACGAGTATTGTTTTGAAGAATTAAGGTTCTGATTATACTTGCGATAACAGTAACATTGGAAAATAAGAGTGGTATATTTAATTCCAACAGTCACACTCTAAGGTGGGGTGAAAAACCAGCTGTGTCTGGGGAATGGCGTTATACTGCATCATTTATATATAGGAATATGAGTATAACTGCACATAGTATTTTCAGACAGTCTCTCCTGGGGGAAATTAATACTGTTGCACTCAGTTGTTCACAAGAAAAGTGTCAGAAATACCTATGTCTAGAATGAAAACAAAAAAACAAACAAACAGAGAGCAGTTCAATCCCTGGCTCCTTTTGCATCTCCCCCAAACCTGGTAAACCACAGTGAGAAGTGGATGTTGGAATGTCCGCTTTGAAAAGTGAAATGGTTTAATGCAGACAATCCTTAGCAGATATCAGAAAGGTGTGTGGAAAGGAGGGTGTTTTCAAAGCTATCTGACAAGGAGTTCTAATGGCAGATACCAGTTCCTTTAGAACAGTCACTTAAATCTGCCTCTTCCTGCTAGCTTAAGCCACCTGGTCATGTGACCAGTTGTTTTGGTAATAAAAAGTGGGCTTGGGACTGAGTGCCTCTGTCAGGAAAGGATTTTTGACAGGATAGTTTTCACTGAGTTGACAATAAGAAGAATACATTGTAATGTGTATCTTATTAACAAATATCCTGTCTGTTAGAGTAGCCAGTCCATAAAATATTATACTTTGTAAGTCAAGTACCCACAAGGACAACATCATCCTAAAGTTCACGGACAACACAGCAGTGATAGGACGCATCATTGGTGGAGACAAACAGGAGGGCAGTGGCCGGTCTGGTGTCATGGTACAAGGACAATAATCTCAGCCTCAACAGAGACAAGACGAAGGAGATGATAATGGAAATGAGGAAGGAGAGGAGATCTCATCAGCCACTGTTCATTCAGGGGCTCGAAGTGGAGAGGGTGAGCAGCTTCAAATACCTGGGCGTCCACATCAGTGAGGACCTCACTTGGACACTCAACACCACACTGCTGGTCAAGAAGGCCCAACGGTGGCTGTACTTCCTGAGGAGGCTGAGGAGGTTTGGCATGTCACCTAGGATCCTTTGCAACTTCTACAGCTGCATCACTGAGACCATCTTGACCAGCTGCATCACTGTCTGGTACGGCAGCACTATTGTTATGGACCGCAAGCGCCTGCAGAGAGTGGTAAAGACTATGGAGAAGATCACCAGGACTCCACTGCCCTCTCTGCAGAGCATTTACCACCACAGGGTGCGTAGGAAAGCTGCCTCCATCCTCAAGGACCCCACCCACCCCCAGCATGGACTGTTCATACCCCTACCCTCCGGTCAGATGCTCAGGAGTGTGAAATGCAGGACCTCCAGACTGAAAAATTTCTTTCTGACTGCCATGAGACTCATAAACAGCTGACTCAGGATCTACCTCATGTAATTCCGTCTGTACTGTTTACATACTCATTTTGCACATGCATAATTGCACACTCACTCTTGAATATTTGTACTTCACGGCTCCCACATAGCATACAGTATATTTTCTCTGCATTGTATTGTGTTCTTGTTGTATTTTTATTGTGCTTCTTTCACTTGCTGCTTTAAAGTGCCTTAGATCTGTGTCAGGATTGGCACATAAAGCTGCCAATGATGTCACGGGGTGAACTCAATTATAGAGCCAGACGAGGATAAGTGAAACATTGTCTCTTTAATAAGAGCAACAAAACGATACAGAAAACTACGTAAACTCGAAACACACCCTCAGGTCGATAATACAGTCCAGGGTCAGAGCCAGAAAACTTACACACCCAAGGGATCCACAAACAAGAGGTCAGAGAGGGGAGTTCGATAGTCCATACACAGAAAAACATGAGCAGAAACAGAGGGCTAGGCAAAACTCAGTGGTCAAACAGTAATACAGGGTCAGATCTGGAATCACAGGAACAGGTAAAATGCTGGAAAGTCTGAAGAGGAGTTAAAATGATCTGGCAGCTTTCCGGTGGAGGAAAGCTGCCTATAACAGAGTGAAAACAGGTGCAAACAATGAGTTCTGATTAAAGTAAAAAGTCCGTAGCTGGGATAAGGCTATACAGGAAGTTGTGTCAAAATAAAAGCATGAGCCCAGAAATAGGCGGGACAGAATCATGACAGATTTATGTTATTGCTCATTTACCTTATATTTCATTTGTATTTTGTGGCATTCATGTGGACGGCAAAGTAAGAATTTCATTGTACAGGGAAACACGTTTCCTAATTGTGCATATGACAATTAAACACTTTGACCTTTTCACTGACCTTTGCAGTAATTCTTCTCCAGGAAACACCTGTGGCAAATAGGAAGTAGCCAGTTTTGTTGCCAGTATGAAAGAAAATAAAAGACCTGCAGGGTTCGCATGAGCAGTGACAGCCATCAGTCCGGGCAAAACAGTTTGTCTGGCTTTCCATGTCTGGGAAGTGCACTAATATAATAATAGTGCAATAATCAAGTCACACCACAGTTGGAAGCAAAATTGAACAATAATGCATTTTGATTTTAACACTTTAACTTTGTGCTTGTTAGTGAAGAGGAATTACAGTTCTGTTCCTTCCAAAAGTCATTTATTAGTGGCTTGTCATTTAATATGTTATTAAATTACTAAATCAGTCAATGGCGTTAAGAGCAAATAAACATGTACATATTAATTGGTATAACCTGCTTTAATTAATGTTTGCTTTACAGAGATTTTATTCTTGTCTGCCAATCATCATTTTGTTTAAGTACCTCCAGACACAGCTGGATTTTTTATAGACCACTCGTTTCTCCTTCACTGGTTGGCTGCCTCTCACTGTAAGATCATTATTTGGAAAAATCTGTCAGAGTCTACTGAACACTGGGGTATCACTTTCTAATGAGGTAACCTTTATAAAAGGCTTATAAGGTACAACTAGTTTCTTTATTACTTGTTAATAAATCATTTGCTAATTCTTTCCTGGTCAGTTAGACATCATTACTCAGAACTATTTCTGAGTTGGCAGGGTGTAAAAAAAAAAAATTCTACTTCTTATTTGGTTGGATTTACATTTTGGAAATCTATTAACTCCTAAACCATGCTTTACTTTCAAGCCTCCAAGTCTGCAATTAAAAATAGTTTTAATTCATTAATAAATTTTAAAATAAAGACCTAGAAGGACAAAATGTGTGTCATGCATCAGAAAAAGGCATTCCTCATAACTAGGCAGCTCAGAGTTGCTCTTAACAAGACTTATAATTGATGTACAACGCATTATAATGCCTTTTTTTTACTGTTAATTAAGTTTTAGTTAAAATGTATAAATGGTTTCTAAAGGTTAACGTATTAATTGTATATGTTTTAGCTCACAGCTTCACTTTTTATATAATAAAATGTGAGAAAGGTTCACAGAAGCAAAACCCCAACTTTCACTGCAACTACACCAAGCTTTAATGTGTATATGCCAGTGTGTGTGTGCGTTTGCATGTGCATGTTTGCACTGTGATCCTTTAATCCTGATTTTCCCATGTCCTTCAACCCCAATCAAGGTTGTTATTAATGAGCATTTTCTCTCTTCGTGCCTTGCCTGCTCCATCTCTCTCTAAACCTTTCCTAATTAACAAGCACTGCTGCTTACTAATGATGACTGAACTGAATGTGTGTGTGCACACGTGCATACATGTACATGCACAGCAACATGGCTGAGAAATAAATGGCTCTAATAAATGTCTCCTCTGGTTGGATTAATGATGCCTAAAAGTTGGTGGTGATTCAACTCAGAGGGCTTCATCTAGTCATGTCTGCTCATTAAGATTTTTAACTTCACTAGGATCAGATTCACTACAGTTGCCAAGTTTAATAAATGTTCAGCA